TCTGCATTGTTAATTTGATTGTTCCCGGCACGCGTGAGTGGTTTTTGTTTAGATTATTGCAGGTAACACAGGAAAAACATTATGTAAATTTAATTAAATCCAGTTTCTCGTGCGTCGCTTGAGCTTTCGTGACGTCATAGGGTGAGATGCGGTACCTTCATAGAGCCATATCTGCGGTATTATTTGTCATAGAGGGGTGCGGATTTCACTGTTACTCTTAGATTTTTTTTCTCTTTTTTTTGAGATGAAGTTGTTTTTTTGGCGCACACCCCCTTTAATTTTTGATACCCATCAACTTTCCCTGGAAGCGAATGCAAAATTAGCCGAGGCGAGTAGCATAAGATTTTTTCAAGTTTCAGAAAAACGGGGAAAAAAGTGCACATTTATCACACCTCATAACTTTTCTCAGAAAAGTGTGCAAAATTTGCATATAGGTGTGCAAAAATGTCCAAAATTAAATGAAACGAGTAGCATATAGTACGGGATACGAGGCCTATTTCATCAAATCATTTTACACCGTCTTGCATTGTTATCATCAGTTAGATAACATGATGCTGAAACGCACTTGCGCAGTGAAATATATGGGAGTGGGGAATTTAGCTGATAAAAATGTTTGAGAAAATGTCGTCATAATCCAGGAAAATATACAATTTCACACCATCTTGCATTTACTTATTAAGTTAATTTGTACACAAACAAAATTAGAATACCCTATGCAAGACATTTTCCTGGGGGTTTTCGGGTTGTAATATTAGATAGAAATTGTCAATTTTTCAGAGGGGTGAAATATCATTTCACACCACTCAATTGTTGATTTAGATTAAAGCTTGAATGTAGAATAGCCATTGGATACTGATGCAAGACGTACTGTGAGGGGATAATGGGCTGCAAGACAGAGGTCAATGTGTTGTCTTATGAGGGAGGGGGAAATCATTTTACACCGTCTTGCACTGGTACTTATGGGAAAAATAGAACACATTGATAACATTTTTAAAAATACAAGACATTCTAAATGGGAAGAAAGGACTGCAAGACGATGATGAAGTTGACTAATTTTGACAAGGGTCAATCTATCAGGTACAAAGGTGAATACTACTTCAAATTACAAATTATGCACATTAATTTTAAATAGTTTTGCTCTTCACCACGTAGAATAATTCTATTTTGCGAAATTCTCCTAATAATATGTATATATGAATGTTTCTACGGACATCAAATAAAAAAAGATTGAAAATTGTTTTATTTTTGACGGCTTTTAATCATTTAGGTTCTCTTTGAGGTGGATATCCCATGACACATAACATGTTTTGTGCACATAACAGATTGTAAGCATTAAATTTGAAGAATTTCATTTTAAAGCAGCAAAAAAATGTGAAAATGACACAACAAATGATCTGTCTGAAATTGCAAACAAAAATTATAATTCCTGTATTCAACAGACTCCCCTGTTGAGCTGCTATGTCAACTGTCCTTTTTCATCTGTATGATTTAAAAAAGAATAAACATTGAACGGTTCAGTAAATAACTCAACAGTTCAGTGAAAAAATTAAAATGGATTTTTTAACTTTTTTCCCAGAAAAAACGTCTTGGACTGATGTAATACCATTTCTTAACATAGATTCTTTCGGCGGACATAAGCATGAAGTGGTGTAAAATAATTTTTCACTCCCTCATGAGACAACACATTGACATCCGTCTTGCAGCCCGTAATCCCTCTACAGGACGTCTTGTATCAGTATCCAGTGGCTATTCTGCATTCAAGCTTTGATATAAATCAACAATGGAGTGGTGTAAAATGATATTTCACCCCTCTCAAAAATTGACAATTTCCATCTTATATTACAACCCCAAAACCCCCATGAAAATGTCTTGCATGTGTTAATCCAATTTTGTTTATGTACAAATTAACTCAATAAATAAATGCAAGACGGTGTATAATTAAATATTTTCCTCGTTTATGATGACATTTTCTGAAACATTTTTTTCAGCGAAATCCCCCACTCCTATCTATTTCCCTGCACAAGTGCGTTTCAGTACCATGTTATCTAACTGATGATAACAATGCAAGACGGTGTAAAATGATTTGATGAAATAGGCCTCGTATCCCGTACTAATAGGGGTCTATCAATTTTTTTAAAAATGAGAGGTGGTTATGCAAATTTTTGATACGATATAACTTTCCCCAAAAGAGTGTGCAAATTTTGAAAATCGGTGTGCAAAATTATGGGTTATTTATTTTTGAAATTTGTCTATTTGTCGAAAAAAGGTTTTCAAAGACGGGGGTAATGCTGACAACCTGCCCACCTCTCGACCTGTCATATTTTGACAGCTGTCAAAAATTACATTCGACAGCTGTTGAATATTCCAAATTGTATTATCAGCCGAACTTAAAGTGTATGCAAAATCTGTTGCGAAGAAATGGTTCACAAATCTACATCTGTCACATTTGACAGTTGACATCTGTCATTAGTGGTCTAAAATGTATAATCACCCGAACTTAAAGTGTAAGCAAAATTTCAGAAAAATCCGTTGCGAAATAATGGTTCAAAAATCTGCACCTGTCACATTTGACAATAATTTACACCTTTAGTGGTTAAAATTTATTATCACCTAATCACCTGAACTTGAAAAGTATGCTAAATTTCAGCAAAATCCGTTGTGTTTTATACCTCTATTTATTAGTAACAGAAAATTACTACCCACAAAAATACATAACTATTTACCTATTTATTATATTGTTTTTAATTATAATAATATTCCTATTCTATGGTAGGTATATGTATAATAAGTACCTATATAAAACACAGGCATTTAATTTGTTATACAAAAGACAACTTGGCAACGCAGCCTAGCAAATACGCGTGCATTTGGTCCCTCAAATTAATTTAATCGCAGAAACGACGGATTTTACTAGGACACCAGCGCCATCACGCGGGTTTATATTTTTGCTAGCGGACGGGTCTTCTAGAGACGTTAGTCTATAATATTCTTTGATAAAACGTAATAAGTATTTTGGGCGTTGAGTATCGTTAACCACACCCTCGGGCGGTAAATGACACTTTCCGCCATTAATGCCTAAATAACTATTAACTATCTAAAATCTGTTTTTTTTTTAAAGATAAAAGTCAAACTGACATTATGTTGGCAATACAATGTAAAATTGTCAATGCTTCAAATTTTTTATGTAGAAAAGGCTTGTGTTGCCAACATAGTTACTAAATTTTTGACTTGGGGAATTATCTTTAAAAAAAAAACAGACTTTACCAAAAGTAGCTTAAGTAGCTTGTTTTAGCAGCTAGCTACTTTTCACAGTAGCTTATGAATACTTGAAACACATTACCAAAAGCTACAGCTACAAGCTACTTTTTTTTTCAAAGTAGCTTGAATAAGTTATTAGCTACCAAAAATGTAGCCAAGCTAGTAGCTTAACTACTTGGTAGCTAGCTACTGCCCAGCTCTGTTTCAACCAATGAAATTCACTCCTTCTGGTTTGGGATTTCTGTGCAAACAGACCTTAAATCAACTTATTGACACCTTTAATTTGACACATCATTCAGGGAAAAACCTGATGGATAGATGTCAAAGCTGAGACCGCAGGCCCTTGCCTCAATAAGCTGCCCTGCCACCTTTTTCCGACAAGTTCTCACGAGGCAGGATTGACTTTTTAGATAGAGGACATCGAGACCTTTAATCTGATACCCTACTTAGGGCATAACTCGATGGGGGTAGTGTTACGTTTTTTTTTAATTTGTTAATAATTTGTTAAAAGATATTTCCGGCAGCATTTGCTCTCAGGCAGGAATACCAGTTAATAGATGCACATAATACTATGTGTTGATATTAGTGTCGACACATAACTCGATTGGGGTGGGAAAAATGCGGTCGTCTCTCTAACTAAAAGCTTTTCCAATAATGATATTGCTTTTGGTAGTAAAGTCTGTTTTTTTTTTAAAGATAATTTCCCAAGTCAAAAATTTATGAACTATGTTGGCAACACAAGCCTTTTCTACATAAAAAAATTGCAGCATTGACAATTTTACATGGTATTGCCAACATAATGCGATTTTGACTTTTATCTTAAAAAAAAAAAATAGAGTTTAGATTCAGATGCTTAAGGTTTAAAGTCAACCCCCATTTTCTGAACCTTGTGTTCAAAAATTCCAAAAAAATATATGTTTTATGGTTATTGATATACTTTAATCCATAATTTTTGTAAGCAAATTTGACTCGCCATTTTTGAGTTATATCGCAAAAACTGAAAAAAGTGGTTTTTCACCATTTATTTCAAAACGAAGAGATGAAGTTTCCCGTTATTTTTATTACGAACTACTATTGCAATTCTACACGACATATATTTTTTTCAAATTTTTTGAACTTGTAATTTTCTCGCTACTGCAAGAATAGTTGGAAATACGCCTGTAGCTACACTGTTTAAGAATAAATCCGATGGATGAACGTTCAAAATTATTTGTGTTGGTCCAAACTACAACCCTGTTTATGTAAAACAGAATAATACTTCGAATTTCCGCAAAAAAAAGAAAAAACTTTCCATCACACAATTTAACCAAATGCAGATTTCTATTTTTTTTTGACTGTCAAGTTAGGGCACACTATAGAGGCGACAGTACTGACATCTCGCGTTGCTGCAATAAACTATAGGCCTGACTTTAAACCTTAATTAGGTAAGCAGAAACCTACTTCAAATTTAGGAGGTTCATAAATTCCCACCTTTGAATTATGACTATTTTTTCTTTTCCACGGTTAGGACCACGAGAAAAATAAAACTGTATTCAGGTAACATTTTCTATCCAAAACAGTGGGAACTTCTTCAATCTCTTTGACTCTGTGGCCGAAATTTTGGAGACCAACAACCAACAAAAGTCAAACTACAAGAAAGCATTATTTAATAGGTCTTTTTATTAAAAATCGTCTATATACAATATACAAAATTATTCAACTAAAAAAACAACATGTTATAAATTCATAAATAGGTTTCTTTTTACAAAAAAAAAGTAATAGGTAGATATAATTATTTCTGATTTTCTACACTCTACATATTCTTAATAACTAAATTATAGGATTGGTGACACGACAAAAAGTGTTATATATAAAGTTATACAATATATAAAAGTTTATATAAAAATCTATAAAACATTTTACAAAAAAAAAACACGTGTTATAGAAAATTTGTACATGATATAATTGTTTGAGATACACACAGCTTTCAGTTAATTAGGTTTTATCAGTTTTATATTATAATTGCGATAGAGAGATTAAATTCGATGGACAATTTGTTTAGATAAGAAAAGATCATACATTTTCAAATGCAAATCATAGGTTTTTAAAAAAAATTAGTTGCCATCATGGAAAATTTGCAACCTTTTTTCACTCATGACTTATGTGCTCTAAAAACTCAATGCAAGTACAATCTTATTATAAATAGGTACCTATGTACTTTCAGATAATATATCTTTACAGGTATAATTGTCAAAAGTATACAATTTGAGGTAAAAATCTTATTGACATCGAACCCATTGCCTTCCATTTTGGTTACCGCATTTCAACAAAACCTTGATTTTACCAAAGAACCGATATCAAGAAATAATACAATTTTTATCTTTATCATCAATTGCTAATTTACTTCTGCTCGGACTCTTAGGATTGGCTTGTTGTCGTCTTCTAGCTATGGCAAGAGCGTCGTTTGGCACGTAAGAAATTCTCACACCTCCATAAGCCCTTCTAGGAGGCAATTGGTAGTCGAGATCGTCGGAAGATGAACTGGAAGAACAGGTTGAACAGTAACTGTCGGAATCGTCATCGCGATGATGAGAATTGTGACGCGAAGTCGACGCCATGTGACTATCCGAAGTCGTTTTTCTTGGCACTCGTGTCTTATTTCTTTGCAAAGAGTCGACGTGGTGTCTTCTTTCTCTGCCAACACCGCTGTAACTTCGACTTCTTGGAAACTTTTTGGCGGCTGCTTCTATACTGGCATTGTCAGCTTCGTCAGCTACAAACGCTTCGTTGTCGCCTTGAAAACGTACACTGAGCAGTCCTCGGGATTTTTTCGTTGGTGATCCTGGAGTTGTTGCTGTTGTATCACTTGAAGGAGGAAGCTGAAACAACAAAATGTTTGTTATTTATTTTTGGAAATATTCTATCGCTTATGAAGTGACTTAAGGTACTTATATGTTTAATAGAAGAGTTAACTTCAAATATCTAACTACTAATAGTACTAATACAATTATTATCATGTAGAAATTATTAGTCGGATCATTCTGAGTTCTGTTACATAATTAATGGGAACCTGTTTCTGGTATTTTTTACCAGTGACAGAAATCTAAATGAAGAATTGTATTAATCTATGATTGTAATTGTCAATATATGATCTTTACCTTTCAACTTTAAAATATATTTACTTCATCGAATATAGTTTATTACTATTACATCATTACAATAATGTTATAAGTTCTTACCGGAAGTTCTGGCATGCTACTAGCGTGACAAGCTCCTTGTTCCAAACCAATATTGCCATCTTCATTTTTAGCAATGTTGCATTCCTTTTTTTCTTCGGTACTCAATCGGTCCGCCCAGTCGTCCAAACTCAAGTCCGCCAAATGAAGCGGTTCCCTGCTTCGATCTCTGGCGCACAACAACTTTTCCAAATCGGGCGAATGATGTGCAGAGCCTCGTTCGGATAATAACCTACAATGAATTATTGAAAAAGCTGTTTTTGAAAATCAATATTGAATCTTACCTATCCAAATTTCGCTCCAATAAAACCCTATCCAGTCCCTTTTCTTGCCCCACAGCAATTCTTTCTTCATTGGGATCTCTACTCTCAAAATCTCCATTTTCGGATGGTGTGGGAGTGCTGGCTAAAGACCCACTAGGCTTAGGACTTCGTTGTAAAGCCCTTCTACCCATTTTGGGTGATCTGATTGGTGAGGGGGTGTGACTATGGCTCTGCAACGCCAACTGGGCGTGATTACTAACCAACAACATTGAACTATTATTGGGTAAATGGTGTTGGTTTAGATGACTTGGTGGGGAAGACAACGATCCTATTGGACTGGATGGTGTGCTGGTAGTCGGGGAGTGTGGAGGGTGAGTCTGATGAGTAGAAGGGGATGCTGGGGGTGTGCTGGCTTCACTAGGAGAGGCGGTGCGGTCATTAGGTAGATTGCGCAATTTCCCGTGACGTGGAACTCTTGTGTTCGGACCGCTGCTGTCCGAAGGTGTAGGAGGCTCACCTTTACTACAAGCTATGGAACAATAGATGGCACCTCTTCGAGGTAAAAATGGCCTGCCAAGTAAAGACGAGTGACAAGTGTGGCAACAGAAACAGGATTCTGTCGCGTGCCAGTGTTGACCTTCGTGACTCATTTGACCCTGATCGACTCCGATCGGTTCGCCGCAACTGTCGCAATATTCAGCAAACATGGCATCGAAACAGTGCAGACAATACGGTCTTCCGTCTCGCATAATATACCTTTGTCCGCCTAATTGTCGCTCGCATTCTGAACAGGCAAAATGCTTCATGTGCCACGCCCTGCCTTCTGCTTCTGTACATTCGTCTGCCAAGATAATCTACAAAAAAAAATCAAGTCAATTTAGAATGTCTTTTAATGCAATTTTTGGATAATACCTCATCACAAGCACTACATCTGGGCTTTACAGTTTCCGCGTGGTGTCTGCCACAATACAATCGACCTTCTTTGTAGAAGTAGATGAGGTCTATTAAAAGCTCCCGGCAAACCGAACACGCGAAACAGGCTGGGTGCCAGACTGTGTTGGGTCCTGCTCTGGATGCAAACACTCCGATGTCGCCTGATGAAAGTGTTTCTGAACACTGAAAGAGAAAAGATTAATTAAGTTTCAAATTATGGCTTATTAATCAATTGTGAGATATAACCTCTTCTAGCTTAGATTTTTACGATACAACTATAAAAAAAAGAAAACTGAGCGAAAGAGTAGATTTGAACGTGGCTAAAGCTAGCTTCATATTCATATTCAGATTTGTGTATATTACAGTCGACCAGATAATTATTGAAAAGAAAAATTAAAAAAAAGCGAAATTCAATCAAATAAAATTATTATATTATGTAGGTTATACAACTCACTGTACATTATTTCCATGTGACACGAAAGGCTTAATAAGTGAAAAGCCTTTTGGGATTATCGCGCTTGGTGGCATTTATGGCAAATTCTATTATAGAAATTTTTTAAAATTTTAAAGTTTAGTTCGTTGTATAACATTTTGAATAGGTACCACTCGATGTTTTAGGATTACCGGATAATACTTTTACCTGACACTCAACGCGTTACTAGCAACACCACTCCTCCTTCGGAGTCGTGGTGTTGCTGCGTAACGCGTTTCGTGACAGGTAAAAGTATTATCCGGTAATCCTGAAACCTCTTGTGGTATTACATTCGAGAATCTCTGGGATTCGAAAAAGGTAGAAATAACCTTTAGGCACATTCGAGGATATTTTCTCCAGTCAAGTTAGGTCTGAAAGAGATACTACGGAGGGAAATCCATAAATTGTTTAAAAATTCCTGAAAAATTGATGATGCTTTGTAGCGATTTTTTAAAATTTGAGGAAGCTAGACTTAACCATCAAACAGATTCAAGAATATTTTTCCCATTCAAGTGTGGTCTGGGAAAGTCACTACGGGGGGAAGTCGATAATTTGTTTAAAAGTTCGTGAAAAATGAATGATGTTTTGTAGGGATTTTTCGAAATTTGGAAAGGATAGAGTTGACCCTTAAGCACATTCGAAAATATTTTTTGAGTCAAATAAGTCTGGGAGAGTTACTACGGGGGCATGATACGGGCAAGTCGTGATAAAATGTTTAAAAATTCGTGAAAAATTATTGATGCTTTGTAGGGATTATTTGAATTGAAGTTTGAGGATGATAGAGTTGACCATTGAACGCATCATGCAAAATTAGTGATGCTGTGACGTCCGCCAGGCTGTTAAGAATCTTAGGGATTCGCTGTCGAATATCCTAGAATCTAGCGAATTATTCTACTTTAATCGGGAAAATAAGATTATCGTGTGGATTCTAGATTTTACAGGAATAAATTTAGGGATATATAAAGACCGCTATTGCTTTGTAGTTTTTAAGTTTCATTTCGACTGTGATACGATTTAAATAGTGATTATTGTTGTAAAGAGTTTAATTGTTGAGTTAGTTATTAAAGTAATTAGTGTCAGAGTGTATTGTTACGTGGAATAAATTATTGTTGTGTTAATTGGACTTTGATTTTTGGAATAAACGAAACGAACCCAAGATTTCTGTCAGGCAATCCAAAGCCGTGACAATTAGTGTCAGAAGTGAGACATAAAGGACTGCAGAGTGAAATCCAATTGCGGAAGTGCGGGGACACTGGTGTAGTGTAAAAACTGAACACTAAGTGAACACTGGGACATTTAGTCAGTGCAAACAGTGACAATCACAAAAAGAGACTAAACCGATCGTGTGAATTACCTCGGAAGTGACTCTATACCCGATATTGACTGCGATAGTGAATCTTCGAGTGAGTTCTAGAAAATTCTATTCGGAAACTCAGGGAGATATCGAGTATGTGACTTCGCCGACGTATTCGGAACATCAATCGTCATTCAGAAGAGGTTTTTCGAGGAGTTTCGGTAAAATTCTAGAACATTCTATTTGGAAACCAAGGGAGATATCGAAATTGTGATTTCACCGACGTGTTTGCTGTATCAATCGACATCTAGAAAAGAAATTTCACGAAAATTCCAGAACATTCTATTCTAGAATATAGCAAGTTATCCAATTTGTGACTTCACCGGCGTGTTTGGAACTTCGAGCAAAGACCAGAAAAGATATTTGAAAAAATTTCGAGGGAAATTCTAGAACGTTCTGTATATGCCTATCACAAGACAACAAGCAAAAATGGACGAACAAAAAGTTGAAGAACTTCTGCGCAAAATGTTGGAACTTCAAGAGACCAAATGACAACAAGAAAAACAAGATGAAGAAGCCAGACGACAATAAGAAAAACAAGACGAAGAAGCCAGACGACAACAAGAAAAACAAGCCGAAGAAGCTAAACGACAACAAGAGAAACAAGACGAAGAGGCCAGACGAGAAAAAGAAAAACAAGAAGAAGAAGCTAGACGACAACAAGAAAAGGCTAAACGACAACAAGAAAAACAAGACGAAGAGGCCAGACGACAAAAAGAAAAACAAGACGAAGAACTCAGGCGACAAAAAGAAAAACAAGAAGAAGAAGCTAGACGACAACAAGAAGAAGCTAGGCGACAACAAGAACGGCAAAAAGACCTTGGAAAACTGCAGAAGCTATTCCAAACTATACAAGGAACTGTCACTAACCTAGACCAGAAGATTGAAAAAGTTGAAGAAGATGTGCACGACGTCCAAGTAAAAACTGAAGTCAAAATCGATGTTCAAGAAGTTAAAGACGATGTTAGAGAAGTTAAAAAGGACGGAGTAAAAGCTGAGGTCAAAGCCGATGTTCAGCAATTAAGACAAGTAGTTGAGGACCAAGTTCGAGCACTCGAAGATAAGATGCGTAGATTAAAAATACAGTCCATCAATCCAGCTAGTGTTGGAGCATTCTCCAGTATGAAAATAAAACCACCAACTTTTGACGGTTCTACGTCCTATACCATGTATATTCGACAATTTGAAGCTACTTCAAATACCAATGGATGGAACGATCAAGAAAAAGCTACAGCACTGATAGTGGCGCTACAAGGACCAGCCTTAGATCTTCTTCAGTCCATTCCTTCAATCTACCAACAGAATTACCAGCATCTTAGTCAAACTTTAGAATTGCGCTTCGGAGACCATTACAGACAAGAAGTATTCAGAACTCAAGTTAAATCAAGAGTTCAAAAACCCTGCGAGAGTCTTCAAGAATTCGAATCGGAAGTTAAAAGGCTAGTGAGTTTGGCGTTTCCTGCAGCTGGGGAAGACATGCAAGAATGGATGGCAGTATCTGCGTTTATTGATGGTCTCAGAGATTCGAAGATCCAGGAAAACCTAAGAATGTCCAAGTTCAGACAAAATAGCGAAGCCCTTGTCCGAGCATTAGAACTGGAAGCAATCTTTGGTGCCTCACGACCCAGAATATGAGCAGTATCCATTGAAGACCTAAAAGATAAACAGTTGTCAAAGGAGGATGGTAGTCTCGAGAATGTCATGAGTCATTTCATGGAGGAGATAAAGAAACTATTACGAGAAGACAGACAAATGGGAAACAACTCCGACCAAACACCAACAGCGAGAAACCGAATAAAATGTTACCGGTGCCAAAAGCTTGGGCACATGCAATAGGATTGTAGTCTCAGGATGTCCTTTCCATCTGGGGATCATTCTCAACGCTTTTCAAGGTCTAGAGACGCCAGCCCTAATAACAGACAAGAACCAACTAGTACGGAAGGGAGGATGCTGGCTAGTAATGACGAAGCCCCCAGAGTTGTGTACATAAAATCATTGGGCAGTCATTATAGAGGATTAAAATTCGAAGGACAAATTAATGGAGAATTGAAAACCATCACTTTTGATACGGGTGCTGAAGTTTCCATAATTAAAAGAACATTAGTCAAGTCTCGGGCAATCCAACCGCTCACTAGAAACCTGTCACTACGAAGACTCACGGGCTAATCTGCTCCAGTTCAAGAAGAAGCTATGATTGAGCTTACTTTTGGATCTACCACCTTCAGGCACAGAACATTAGTCGCCGATATAGAAGATGATTTTATTTTGGGAATGGATTTGATCGGCCAACATGGTTTCTCTTTTGATCCTTCCATGAACATCCTTAAATTTGGTAATGAAGAAATTGTCTTAACTACACAAGAAGAATCCGAAGCCGTTAAGATCTTGGCCACAACCCCAGTGAGGATTCCTGGGAGTACTGAGGACGAAGTAAGGGCATGACTTCTGGGAATACACGAATTTACTAGGGAGCACATTGTTTAATATTGTATTTATAGAATGCTTTGGCCACTACCCGCAGGTTGGTGGCATATATCTCTTATGGCATATATCAATCAATTATAGATTTGTCAGAAAGTAATAAAATTTGTCACAATTTAAAAAATTCTATTCCTCAATTTAAGTCCATTCAAGTCGTCCTATCATTATTTCTCCTCCAGTCCATCCAGAACAAAATCAATTGAACCAGTATCAAGTTGAACATAAACACACATTCAGCTGGCCAGTGACCGAATGAAAACCAAATACGACTTGAAAGCCAATTCGGTCGGAATTCAAGAAGGTGATTTAGTGTGGTTGTATAATCCAGCAAGAAAGGAGTGTCGCCGAAATTATCTTCAGCATGGGAAGGACCCTACAAAATAATCAAGAGGATCAATGATTTGGTTTATCGAGTTCAACGCAACACCAGGAGTAAGATGAAAGTTGTACATCTGGACAGGTTAACGAAATATCATGGGCGTGAGGTTGATCGGGACGATCAACCTTGAGAGGAGGGCAATGTGGCGTCCGCCAGGCTGTCAAGAATCCTACGCTGTCGAATACCCTAGAATTTCGGATTCCTATAATAATCTAGTAAATTTTACTTTAATTGGAAAAATATGATTATCGTGTGTATTCTAGATTTTACAGGAATAGATTTAGGGATATATAAAGGCCGCTATTGCTTTGTAATTTTAAGTTAAAGTTTGACTGTGATACGAGTTAAATAGTGATTATTGTGGTGAAGAGTTTAATTGTTGAGTTAGTTATTAAAGTAATAATTAGTGTCAGAGTGTATTGTTACGTGGAATAAATTATTGCTGTGTTAATTGGACTTTGATTTTTGGAATAAACGAAACGAACCCAAGATTTCTATCAGGCAATCCAAAGTCGTGACAATATCAAAAAAAAAAACACTCAAAATTCATCACTATATTATTGGCCTTATCAGAACAACCGCAGTCCTAAAAAAAATAGCCTCTCGATTCCTCAAAGTGCCCTTCTCCCAAGTCATAATTACGACCCTTGAACGACATCGCTCGCGAAATGTAATTAAAATTTTTCATTAATTAAATCCAGCCGAACCGTGATTGCTCCTCGCGTTTTCCATTAAGAGCGCGCTAGAGTCCTGCTCCTTTAAAAGGATAATTAGAAAATACAATTGTTCATCAAGCAGCGAGCGGTGGCGTATGGCAGCCTTTTATTGCCGATTTCTTGAACGGATTCCTTCGGTTGGTTTATGAAGTTTTCAGCACCGCTCAGCGGCGTTCTCGATATTTTTCGCCTCACAACTTAATCGTGCCGTCATAAATCTTCTAGAGTTCCACTTAAAAAACTACTCTGAAAAAGTCATGGATCATATATGGAGGGTCTTTTCGCTTTTTAATATAAGTAACACATAACTTTTGTTGGCATGTGCTCCCCTATATGTTACTTCGCTTCTGAGCGCACGTGACTTGAAAAAGTTGCACGCGTTTCACTTTTGAAAAACCTTTTTCGGCAACTTTTGCCTTATGTCTTTGACGTTTTTTTAGAAACAAATTTATCAGAATAATTTATTATGTTGCCTCCATATGAACCTTGAAAGAAACTGAATAAAGGAGTACTTATAATATAGTCTACAAACGTGGGTAATTCGTTTCCGATAATTCCCGTTGTCTATGAAAGCTGATTGGATTGAAGCTCAGCAATACAATTGAGAATCAAAAAAGCCAATCAGTACCTAAATATTGAGAAGGCCACAAACTACAAATGACCGACTACTAGGATACCTATACATTTTGCATTTGTAAGGTGGTCGATAATTAGAACTCATTGTTGCTGGAATTCTCCAATTTTTATTACAATAATTAAATTTGAAACAAAAATCAGTATTTACTACGCCTATGAACTTCTAAAAAAACTGAACTATTAGTGCCCCGCTAATTAAGAAGCTCTTCAGTTAGAAAATTTAATACCCATGAAGGCGGTGAATGTTTAAGTTTGAGTGGAATTGAGAAAGTTTTTCGACGGGAACAAACTAGCAAATTGGCAATTTTGTCCGTTAGTTTTGACTTCCTATACCTTTTTCCATATAAATAGTTTTAGAACTTGCACTTACATAGTTTGGAATCTTCCATAGAAACAATCTAAACTCCCCTGCTTAAATATAATATAATAAGGATTTAATTGTGATATTAGCCTTTTCGGAAAACTTATTCTAATTGGAACTGTTTACTCCAGCAATTAGCTTTCCTCAATCTGTCTCGAAAAATCCTTGCTCTGATCGATTCAAGCAGCAAAAATTTTCACAAGTCTGGAAAGTAAAGTGAAAAGCAATAGTTATGCAGTATCGTGTCTCGACCATTGGAGACATTGCAAACTTAATAACTCTCCAAAGTCGATAATAGTTATTTATACACCACCAATTGAGTTAAATGAATGTTTATTCATGAGAAGAAACTTTAACCCACGAGCCCTAGCGAGTGGGTTAATTTTGTTCGAACATATTTTTTGTCTTGAATTTTAGCATTCTGGTGAATTCACAAATATATGATGGATTGCAAACTTCTTATGCCATTGATTAATTTAAGTTGAACTAAGACCTTTAAAATGATTTTTTAGGTAGTAAAAACATAATTTATCGCTATAGGGCTAGCGATTTAGTAATCACAATCAACGAAATGGTTTCTTTAAGAAATTGACCATTTATATCAACATGTCCGAAATTCCTTCAATAAATTATTTCCCAAACATAATCCTTTCAACCAAAATCCCGTCCGACCGACTCGAATAAATCTTTGGGCCCAAACTGTCCAATATCAGGACAGCTTACTCCGTGTCCGTTATAACCAATAATTCCGAAACTTTCCAAACTAATATTTCATTAAAGTGCTCCCCGATATAACAGGAAAACTGGACGAAATCATCATCCCTTCCGCGCCATTTGCCGGCGACATATTTATTAAGGCCGTACGTCTTCGGCCCTAAAAGGGCGCGAAATACAACCCTCGGTCCTTGGACTTATCCAAGCATTTAATAACGTATGTTAGAGGAATGTATCGGTGAACGGAAACTTTGATAAAGAACCGCGTGTAGTCGTCCAATTATAGCTGGTTAAAACATGTTAATGTTTGTACTTGATAATTCCAAGTTGATGACAAGTGAGTGATAAAGAATGATTGAACCTAGCTGAAGAAGAAGTAGCATCTGCTATAAAAGCTGTTGAAAAAGATGAAGGCTTTTCAATTTTTTTCAAATAGTGCCAAAAATTGCTGTTGATTATTCAAAATTAAAAAATTCTGAGATAGTCAAAGAATAACTGATGTGACATATGGTGATTCCAAATTATGTGTGGATTGCAGAAAATTCAACTCAAAAACTGTAAGAGATTCGTACCCCTTACTACAAGTAGATGATCATTTAGAAATGTTGAAAAACTGCAATTATTTCACTACACTTGATACCTATGGCTAGTGGATATCATCAGATACCCATGGCAGAGGATTCGAGACATAAAACAGCATTCGTAACACCAAACGGGCAGTATGAATACCTTAGAATGCCTTTTGGGTGGGTCAATGCATAAGCAGTTTTTCAAAGAACTATCAATATCATCTTGGGATCTATGAGATTCTCCACAGCACTACATGGTCGATATATTGGTACCTTCCACAAATTTTTTGACGGAACCTATAGCTCTGGGCGACGTACGGGAAACCTTTAGAAAGGCGGTAGTTAGAACATAACTACTGACAACATTTGCTGTTGATTATTCAAAAATTTAAAAAATTCTGAGATAGTTAAAGAATAACTAATGTGAGATATGATGATTCCAAATTATGTGTGAATTACAGAAAATTCAACTCAAAAACTGTAAGAGATTCGAACCCCTTTACTACAATTAGATGATCATTTAGAAATGTTGAAAAACTGCAATTATCTCACTACACTTGATACCCATGGCTAGTGGATATCATCAGATACCCATGACAGAGAATTCGAGACATAAAACAGCATTCGTAACACCAAACAGGCAGTATGAATACCTTAGAATGCCTTTTGGGTGGGTCAATGCACCCGCAGTTTTTCAAAGAACTATCAATACGATCTTGGGATCCATTAGATTCTCCACAGCATTACATGGTCGATATATTGGTACCTTTCACAAATTTTGTGACAGAGCTCATAGCTTTGGGCGACGTACTGGAATCCTTTAGAAAGGCGGTAGTTAGAACATAACTACTGACAACATTTGCTGTTGATTATTCAAAATTAAAAAAATTCTGAGATAGTTAAAGAATAACTAATGTGACATATGATGATTCCAAATTAGCTGATGAAATTTAAATTCCTAATGATTTCTTGAACTTAGATGAAAAAGAAGTTATAGTAATACATTTTTTGTGTAAAAGTTTGCCTGAAAGTGAAATATTTCTAGTACGTATCTCTACAAAAATGATAATTTGGTTTTCAAAGAATTTGTTACCACTAGAGCTTCTGATGGTGACGTAAAGAATAACAAAAAACATAGAATCCAGACTTGATATATCGGAGCCCTATTTATTTATACAAGAAACGTTTCATTATTTAGTCGGACTCAATCCGTTATTATTCATAATCAACGATATTTGGAAGTCATAGAAATCAATTGAATGCAACTCCTGAGTCATCAAATAAACTAACTCCGAGCACGGAGCCATGAAAAATAGTGCATCACAAAAGCAACTATGTCTGCATTTAAAGCTCGTAACAAAAAAAAAAATCGCCCCGGCATCAAATAATTGCTCCCATTAAACGTCACATTTGCGACTATTAATACCAGCGTTGGATTATTAAAGAGCATTTATTAATAATTAAAGGCCGGACCTGTTGGACACGGCATAATCCGACTTGATTTAAGGACCGCGGTTAATTATTGATACGATGCGCTGGATTTAAATATAGGGGGTTGATGTGTAAGTGCCCAGTATGGGTGGTTTACTCTTAGATAAAATATTGCTCAACGCAATAAATTATTGTTGAAGAAATCATTCAAGAGCGAGAGAGAGTTCTCAAGGGAAACCAAAAACAAAAAATTAATGCCCGTTTTATTCTTTATAGTTCCCCAGAGCACTCGTTCTAAAAGTTAATTAGAAAAATGTAAATTAGACGGTTTCTGATGCGTTTAATTGCCAAGCTTAAATCATGCGCTTTTTTTCGAGGGGCCCAGTAATTAAAAATTGCCTTTTTCGCAGCAATAAAACTTACCAAATCACATCGCATCACTCCGGGTATTTGTCTTACAGCTCCCCGTCCCAAAGCTTCTCGTTTTCTCTGGGCACTGAACAGCCTCAATTCTTTCCTTTCCTCATCGCTCAGAGCGTGACAGTATCTCACTTCGTTATCATGAGGCGGCAATTGCTGTAACAATTGCTTCACCCTGTATCTTTCGCCTACACTGTTCACATACGGAACTTTATCTTCGGGGAGAGCGCTGAAGTAAAGATGGACCTGGAACAATAAAAATAATGAAATATTTTACAATTTGAAAAGTTTTACAGTAAGAAGACTTCCTTATTTCTATCAAAACTAAAAGTCCTGCTAACATAAATGATATTAAGCTTAATAAAGATTATGGTACCCTCTCTTGGGAAACGTATATAGTATAAAGAGCGTGTTTATCTGGGGTACCATCGGAGCAAAAAGCTTAAGACGACATGTAAATAGCATGGCGAAATTTAATGGCGCTTAATGAGAGCTAACAGGATGCTGACCAGTGTATAAATGGTGATTCATTGGGTACCACAGAGCCAGAATTTAAAAACAAAAATATGAGAACTTATAATTTGATTTGTGAGTGTATACAGAGTGAGTCTCGATATTCTTGTGCCATAGAGAATAGCTTGCTGGAATTTAAAAAAAAAGTTGCCTGAGTGATAACAGGAAGCAGGAGAAGAAGAGATGTAGAAAAATGATGGAATTGCATCTATTCTTGTTTCCCCACTCGCTAAGCTAACTTACCACTAACTCCCAAATTTATGGTTTAAACTTATTTATGTGATGTTTCAAATAATTATTCACGTCTTGCTAACAATAATCTAGGTATTCAATATCAGAGTAACGATTTTTTCAATAATGATGAATGTTTCTGATAAGAAAACTCCTATACCTACTTCTGATACCGATGAGCCAGAGGCATCAAGACAACAATCTGATCATTCTCTCAGACATCAATCAGTCGTGTCGTGCTAAATCAAAACCCCAACAGTTAGATAAAAAAACAAAAAATCAATTCTCACCTGATCGGGTCGTAGCCCGGGTGGTACCCAAGTGTACTCCTCCAAAGCGCATCCGCTATCATCGTCGCTTTGCGAGTGCCGTTGCGGATCGACGCCTCCGGGAGGCCCGAACGGCGATCCCTTACCCAGGAATCGGTCGGTACCGGGATGTTCGGGTGGTACCTTGCCTCCCAACGGCGAAGGTAACGTGGGCAACCCTTGCGGAGGGGTCGCTGACATTTGGTTGATGGTTTCTGGAGAGGGATGACTTCTACCGATTGGTCTGAAAAGAAAAGAAGAAGATTAAGTTTATGAATTTTGGTTGGATTTGGTCATGTTAGTGAATTATTCGTTTTTTGTTTAGCAATTTAGTAAATTGTTGTTGAATTTAAATTAGATTCAATGAATTTAGAAAGTATTTTTGTGCAGCTTGATTGTAACCCTTTTTGTTAATGAATTGACAGGAGGTCCATAATATGCTCAGTTTGCTCAGCGATTAATTATTAGGAGTGGATCAATGATTAAATAAGTACAGAAAGACAAGGGCGCCACTGAATTTGAAAAAAATAAATAATCAAATTATATAAAATATTGAAGTGTGAAACTTCAGAAACACGCCACAAGACTTCAAATTTTTGCGGTAATCAACGGAATTTTGTCTTACAGAACTTTATTTCGTTGAACTAGTGCCTGATTGCCGATAAGGTACTTTTTTCCACGAGAACGATAATCACACTTGAGGAAGATGGCTGCCCCCAGGCCAGGCTCAACCCTCCAGGTCGAAAGTCAAAATTTAAAAGGGACGAAGAATAGGACAAGCTGAACAAGCAGAGCTTCCCTTCAAAAAATAGCTAACGGAAAGTGTTGGTATCAAACTGGTACTTCTTCAAATGAAAAGCGCTGCCCTCTAGGTTATTAATTGCTATTATTATTTTCGAAAGAAACCTACTTTTATTAATGGCAGTCACCACACTGTCAGCATCCAAGGCGAAAATTTAATTTATAAAGGAAGAGTTACGAACAGTATAATTCATAAAAACCACCGCCAGTATCTAGAAATTGAGGCAGCATAATGTGATAATGGAGATTGGAGAGAAGACATTGACAACGCAGAAATTATCACCAAAGAACATTATTCTGATACCGATTCTGAGAATGGAGTGTGTAGCTCTATACCACTGATCTAAAAAATAAATGGATAAACAATCATACGACTTGATTGGCAAAATTTGTGCGAAAATTTGGGGTCAATATTCTACGAACAGTTGTGCAACGGAACAGCCTAACGCCTGCGCATTGTCTTATCTTTGGAACAACTGTTCTGAATTTTGAAATTCCTTCATTTTCATTGGCCAAATTTTGTGCACGCATAGTACATGTATCTACTGCGCACGCTTACCGCTGTCCCAGTCAGTTGTTTTTGTTTAGATTATGACCTCGTAAATTAGCAGCATTAGAAGCGTTCTTTGCTTATCCATCTATTTTTGAGATCAGTGCTCTATACTGACAAAAAGAAGAAGGGAGGAAAGAAATAAAAACCAAAGCTGAGACTTTTTTTTTTAAAAGATATTGGAGGATGGCATTAAAAGTGCTATTCTGGACAACACAAAATTGCATATTTTGAGAGATTAGAGAAACATATTATAGCCAGGAAGAAACATTATAAGGATACTACTTGGGCGAAAATATGTATGAAGTTTTCACCGAATAAGATAAGGCTAGACTTATTAGCTCATGTCTCCAGCAATTTGGCAAAGTTTAGTGTAGGTATTAGCTGCAAAAAATCATATTTGCATTTACGGGTGAACTATAATTTATTAATATTGTAACAAAATCAATAGTAAATTCATAATCTCGATTCAAGTTTCGTGGGAAAAAGTTTTATTTTTGTAGATAGTTAAAATGTGATCCTAATGGTATTTACAAACACATGGAGTTCTGCGAACGACCCAATCTGTTCGAGGGTAAAAATCACTTGAAAACCAAAAAAGTATCGAATTTTATAGCTTCAAGATTATTTTTGTTGTAACCCGAAATTGACAAATATATAGACAAAATTTATGTTTTCCTAGAGAAACACCGAACTTCAAACTAATCTGTAGATTGCACCGGATCACATGTGGTTATAATAACTTATTCAAAGTCAACGATAATCTTTTGAATACCCACGTTTTATGACGAACCCAGATGTCAGATAACTGATACCGTTGCTGGAAAGAATTATATTAGAAGCATGTGTGTGTGGAGCGAAACAATGATTACATGAGCTAGATTTTTAAGATACAATAACAAATTGTATAACAATAATGGCCATTTGCACCGCTATAGCTTAAGGGATATTTAATCCAAGTGGAGATTTGAATGTAGAAACAAAAGTCACATTCAAAACTCCACTAAGATCAAATATCCCTTAAGTGATAGCCGTGCAAATGGCCATAAAATTATCAAGGGTTATTACTTTGGAGCAATGTTAACTATAAGATAGTCAAATGCTTAGTTATAATTAAGATATAAGTAGGTTAAGATAGGAGTTATTATTCAATTATTTCATGAATAAATTAATAGAGGATAGTTTAATTCATTTCACACCCTTGATAATTAGGTTAGAAATTAGGGAACTTTTATTTTATTTACTTGATTAGGTTAGAAATTATTAAATAGGAATAGAAAGCATAGGTAATTAGAAAAGGGAAAGGTTTTCAATTCAAAAGGAAAACAATAAATGTTCACTTGATAATTTGACCACTTGTAACTAGCGAACCATCAAACTGGATCACAGGGTGAAGCAGTTTGGATAGGGAAGGTTGAATAAACTTGGGAATCAGTGGAAAAACAACCAGAAACCGGAGGGTACTTTTAGCGAATCGCTGAAAGCTAGGAGGGTTGGAGATTTTCGACTTTGTCGAGTCTCAAGCCCGGTACTAAGGGGTAGCGTCCAAAGTGGTACCCAGAGGGTGGTTCCTCTTGCTTATTCAACCAGATGTTGAGGCCAGCTAACTTCAGTTATCGCCACTAGTTATTACTACTAGTAATCGCCGGAAATTTGATCCGCAAAATCTCAACGAGTTCTCGATCCGTTTCTCATCCTCTAGTTCATCTGCCGCCCGGTGTTTTAGTAAAAGCTCTCCAAAGAGGTGATAGTTTATTTTTAATTTTCAATTCCATTAAAGTGTCAGATTTGAAACCAAATCTTTTAATTGGGAAAATACTCTTTTCTTTCGTTTTTCCTTAGTTTTATTTATTTATGGTCCATTAATTGAATAAGGAAATTTTAGTTTTTTCATATTTTAACTTACCTTTCTTTGTCCTTAAATAATCACCGCTAACTTTTCTTTTCACTCATAAATAAATTTTAGTCTTTCCTTTTCTGGTTTCAAAATTCACCTTAAAAGACTGGTAATGGCATAGAAGTATCTTACTTGCTGGTTTGTGCGGTTATGAAGGAGATGTTTGCAGCTTCAGCAGAAAAATGGTAAGTGGTACTAATTTTGAGTCTCTAATAACACCTTTCAATAACCACTCCACGAAGACAAGAAAGGAGATTTTGTTCAGATTGCCTCCGGTTCAAAAAATCGTTATTTATTGCTTCAGATCAAATTTACTTTTCAGCATAATTTACTACGAAACTTTAAGATGTGACAGAATTATTCATAATATCTCAATTTTGTCACAAGATTAGTGTAGCTTGAAGTGACAGCAATATAAGCTAGTTAAAATATTCGTTTCTTTATTTGAATTTAAATATACCAACGAATTGAACAATTTAGATTCGACACGAGCGGACCATTCAATTAAAATCATATAGGTTCAGACGGAAAGGGTCATTTTGATTATTCGTATTTGGAAAGTGATAATGGGACACAGAAATCTCCAAATAAGAAAAAAACTACATAAATAGGTGTATTTTTTTTTTTTAAATTTTTGACTACTTATAGGAGGATAGGGATGGATGATGGTACATCCTACTCACTGAGGCTTGTGTATTTAAAATCAATCAATCGAAAGTTTGTTTCACCAGGGTTTGTACTTGCCACCAGCATTTGCCTTCCTTGTTTAACAAATAGAAATTACTGAAACAAATCAATAACGTCAAAAACGTTCGTCGGTTCTTAAACCAGAAGTCATTCATTTTAATTTGTCAAAAAAATTGAATGTGTCATATGAAATAATCTACGACAGCCCTTTTTTTTTCGAGTTTCAAGGTCAAGTATGAACCCTGGTGAAACGAACTTTATATAAATATTTCTGTTCATGTTTATTAGATAAGTAGGTACCTATATTGTATACCTAGAAGGAAAAACTATGAACATTTCCAGACGACCATGTGGCTTTTCCTACGGGTAACATACCATATTGCCGCAAATTGAAAATATTTTAAAGGAACAAAATTATTACAATCAACAGCTAATATTGTGAAGTTATCAAAAATTAAATTTTTTTCAATCATTTTTTTAGTTTACTGTCAGTCAAAACATTCAAATGTCCTGTATCATAGTTTGTACTCTATATATTCCGTTCCATTTTTGTTGCATCTCATTCGGGGCTGTTCAACTTTGAACCCATTTCTGTGGTATAGATATCAAGATATCAAAACTACCGAATAAAAATACTTCAGGACGAGATGGAATTCGTAACTTGCTAAAACACTGTGTCTGCACTTTGTCGTCTCCATTCCATATCTTGTTCAATATATCTTTTTCTGAATCAATTTTCCAAGACAAATGGAAAGTTAGTTTTATTCTTCCTATTTTTAAAAGTAGGGAAAGAAATAATGTTTCGAATTACAGGAGTGTATGCATACACTCATCGATTCCGAAGCTTTTTGATAGCTCAATCAGTGTCTGGCTGGAACATCGGTTCTGCTCGGGTCGGTCAATAATGACTAATTTATACTAGCATATCAGAACAACATATTTAGGGCCTTGGAAAAATTCAAACAGGTAGACACTATATACATAGATTGATTTTTCCAAGACTTTCGATCAAGTGGACCATGCAACTTTTCTAAACAGACTTCATGACATTGGTTTTGGCATATCCTCATAGTCAGCTTGAGCTTTCTGTCCGGACACCAGCAAATGGTAAAACTTGCCTCAATTCATTCAGATTCCCTGGGGGGCACTGTTCTCCTTTATTTTTTAAATCTTTTTGTGAACAGTATATTTGATTGTCTTCGGAACAGTGATGGTTTGTTATCCACTGATGAATTCAAAGCTTTCAAAGTCATAAACAGCCTCGAAGATCAACAGCTAACCTAACAGCAGACCTCCTAAGCCATGATCGGAAGGCTGTCAGAATGATGGTGGGTTTCATAACAGGCCACTGCCGACTGAATAGACATTTAAGTCTGATGGAAATGGAAAAAAACACAGATTGTAGGTTCTGTCAAGAGGAGGTGGAAACGGCAACGCACGTCTTGTGTCATTATGAAGGCCTGTCGAGAGTACGCTTCCGATGTCTTGGCTCAACCAGTGTGGAGTCTGATCAGAGAGATAAAACTGGACGAGGCTCTATAACATAGGGTGAGTCACAATAGATCCGCAGGGTCGCAGTTAATCTAATCTAATCTGATCTGAGAACCTCGCTCAGTTCTTGTTGTAATGGTTTCTGTGGAATTTCGTTGAAGATGCCATTATTGATTTGTGCCAGATTCAGTGTCAAGTAGTTCCTGAAAGTATTCCTTCGAACGAAAATTAATGAAAGAACTATCTTTAAGCAGTCTTGTGTCATCCTTGGATCGTAAGGGATTGAGTCTTTGAGTGGTTTGCAGTGTCCCGAGAAATTGATTATTAATATTGGCAACACTGCCTTGCAAATTATCCAGGATACTACAGAGTATCAAGGGCTTGCCCTCTCTCCTACCATGACCATCAACGAAGCAACACGTGCTCGTCACTACTCTCTACCAAGTCAACCCTGAAATAATTGCGTAATCTAAAATTCATTAACCTGTCCAATAAATACGTAAATAAGTAACGTGCCTTATTATAATCACAACCACCCCAACATGGTTGGTCCGTATAACATCTTAGTAGCCTGAAAGAAGGCCCTGGTTTTGTTATCCATTGCCTTTTAACTTATACTTTTACTTGTTGGTATCTTGCCTTTTTTGTACAGTCGAGCTGGAGTCGCCTTTTGATGCATTATTATCTTTTCTTTTTCTTTCTATGTCTTGAATTTCAGTGTCGTTCTAATCAAACCTTGATGTTTCTTTTGTATGTATTGAGGAAAACCACCTATTTAAAATATTATTTCTTTGAACCTTAACTTTTTAAAAAACGTTTACTGAATAAAAGTAAATGTTGCAACCATGTAATGCTCTGTGAAATTGATGAGAACGGCAGCGCGCCACGGAAAAAGTTACCGAAGGGGAGACAAGAAAATGAGCGAGTAGACTAGAGAAGACTCCGACATTTCCGCGCACTTGCCGCTTCTCGAGCTTGATAGGACATTTCCTTGCGAGTGCGCATATCCGTAAATCCGTAAAAAAAAAAAAAAAAAAAGCGGGGCACTGGGCTGGTCCTTTAAGACGTTTATCCGCCATTGTTCATTATTCAATTTTTATTTTTATTTTGGTATTAAACTGATTGTTCAATTCAATTTGTGATTAGTTTGTGTGTCAAAAGGAGCATCCACAGGTCAGTTGAATAATTGTTATTTTGTTTTTTATACAAGTATCATTTTTTGTTTTTTTTCATTTTTATGTTTTTTTGTTTGTTTATAATATTTTTTATAATATGTGCATTGTTCTGCTGCAAACAACACCGATAAAGAGTAAATTAAAACCCAGAAAAATAATATGCTGTCTTTTTGTGCTGCGATTTTAATTTTTGGATTTAGATCGTGCATTAGGGCCTTGTTGAATTTACTAACACTTTCCTACCCTCACGAGCGAATATCCTAGCAAACAAATTGAAGAAATCAATCTAGATATATTGCCTCAAAAACAACTATAGCTGAGTAGTTTCCCGTATGGGACCTCATTACCTGCTGGGAAACTGGCTAACTAACCAAAAACTCTTCAGTATTGAATATAGGTAGATTTGATTGAATGTTGTATGTGGAATTAAAATTTTAGCACAAATACAAACGATTGTACCTAATTTAAACTTTTACTGAATTATTGAATCATTGACTTAAATTATTGAATTAATGACACAATTATCATTAAAATGACACAGTATCTTTCGATTTTTGAGAAATGTTAGATCGAGGGTTTCTCTGCCGTGCTCTTTCCCCTCGTTAGTTCTAGGTCGAGAATGGTACGATTAACTTTAATAATAAAGTAGACGTTTCACAAATTTTTCGTTTCTTTTACATAACACAACCTCCCTTAAATTTCCCTGATATTTGCTATGTCGGGCGCATGTCAAGTAAGTAAAATTGAGTAAGTTTCCACAACGTAGGTCCTCTGAATGAACCCGGATATGTTATACTACAGTATCCGACCGTTTCTTCCAAGGCAGATGTTATTGCTATCTTCAATATTTTCCAGTGCTCCTCAATGCTTTCCGGGTACTCTAACAGAAGTTTCTGGCATAAAGAGGCTTGGAAGTTTGTCCTGATATGATCGTCAAAAAAAAGACTTTCAGAAAAATATTGATGATTAAAAAAAAAAAGATGGATTAACTTCCAGGTGAATAAATGAAATATCGGCAATAATTCCAAAGAGATATGTAAATTTTAATAAACAGGCCGACCTGTTTAAAGAGCCTACGTAGTGAATGTATCAAAAACCCTCGATAGGAGATATTGAAAGAAATATGGGCACTTAGGGACCTGCATTCATAATCGACGTTAATTGCTTTTATTAATAAGATAATTAAGACGTTAATGGATTACGTTGGGCGAGCAGTCCGTGCCTCCATTTAACTTTTTTCTATTAAATCATGTGCGGTTGCCACCCTGTATTCATTTCAAATTTTCTCACGACCATTACATAATCCAGTAATATCTAACTTTACCTCGCCTTAAAAATGGACCTGATAAAATAAACTAGGCCTTTTCGGAAAGTGTCTGAAAATTAAGATAATTAACTTTTATTAAGATCATTTCTCGGTGTCAAGCTGAAATGATTCATATGGCTGATAAAGTAATTTTATTTTGTTTGGAGCGAATTTCCAGCGTAGATAGTAGTACTTATTTTGTTCAGTTGCTGGGGCTCTAAATATGGAAGACGCTCTATTTATACTATGGTTAATTATTTGTGAAAAAGTCTAATATAATTTGTAATAAATGGATCGTGTATCGAAGATCGGCAATCGTTTGCACCAAATAAAAAACTATTCGAAACGTGAGAAAGTTTTTCTGTGTTTTATTGCGATTTTGAGTGTCACGACTTTAGTTTTTTTAATTTGTTTACTTAAATCGCAAAATGGTAAGTAATTCGAAGTTTTCAACTACAATATTCAATTCCAATTATCAAAATTGAATCATAAATTCTTCAATTGAAATAATTGTGATATTACAATGTTAAGGTGCCATCATTTGTACAAGGTACCTACTACTGCAATGAAAATTGATATTGAGGTTGTAGATATGGATTACATGTCAGCCAATAAAAGTTTTCAAAATCAATTAAAATTGGTGAACTGCTTGATACGCTGAGATATTGGTGGTTCAATATATCCATCAACTTTGGAAGATATTTTCAATCAATTTTTTACCTAGGGGCCTTTGTGCCTTTCCTGCGATATTTTTCATTTTACAAGATGTTCTTAAAGTATTTTTATTATCAGAGGGTTTCAAAGAGTTGCATTCTCTACCATTAGAAGTTTTCCTTCAGCATTTGGAAATTTATAATCAATAAACTAAACTCTTCTATTCTAGATGATAACATTTGCACAAGCCCGGAATGCATTACAGCCGCCCACCACATCCTAACCACTGTAGACGAAACTGTAGATCCGTGCGAGGACTTCTACCAATTCGCTTGCGGAAATTTCCTGAAAACTGCCATAAAATATGACCGAATGAGTCCACTGAAACCTTTAGAAGATATGAAGAAAAACGCTTTGAGGCAACTTGTAACGGAAGACAGAAAGGACGAGGACCAGTTGGTCAAAAGTTTTAGGGATCAGAGAAAGGTATTTTCTTTAAATTTTTTTGCAGTTATTATTTTGTAATTAGTATTTTAGAGCCTGCATGAATACTTCGGCAATAGAAGAAGACGAAGACAAAACCTTCCAGGAGATTATTGAGTTTGTTGTAGGCGGTTGGCCCTTGGCTTTAGGTCATGGCATGGACCTGTTTTGGCCTGACGTAATGATGAGGGCCAGACAAAAAGGGGTTCTTTTCAATTTTTTTTTGGGCTTGGATATTAGGATTGATTTTAATACGAGCCAAGTTTATTTAGAGGTAAGATTTTCTTTAGTTTTAGTTGTTTTGAATTGATTTGTTAATTTCTAATCAGTTGAAGCCTCCACCTATGGAATATTACGACAAAATGCTTTGGAGGGAAGTTAACATCCAGAAACTTATCGAAATGGCAGAACATTGGGGAAATCATTCGTTAAGTGCTAGTTGGGAGGCTAGAAAGACAATAGAATTTGCGAAAAATTTGAACGAGGTACCTAATATTTATCATTCAATATATTTTTTTCCATTATTAAAATCATATCTTCTTTCTATTCCAGATTGTAGAACGGGCCCATAACTCTACCAAAAATCAAACCTTAGAAGCTCAAAAAATGAAAATATCTGAGCTGAAAAACTTTAATTTTTTGAGGTTGCATTGGTTGCATTTCCTGAAAAATATGACTGGGCTGGACTCTTTGCAGGAAGAAGATGAGATACTTTTTGCGTTTGACGGTGGAAAGTATTTTGAGGATTTGTATTATCTTATTAAGAAAACCTGCAAAAAGTAAGTGAATTTCTTAGAATTCTATTAAAATTCAAAATAGCTTCCATAGTGAAAAATTTTGCATCATACATTTGAAAACTTTCAATGCGAATATCTCTGAAAGTGAAAAAGTTAGAAAAACGTAATTTGGTACAAATGTTATACAGGTAGAAGGAACAAGAACCACCATATTTTGGTTATAATAACCCCTTGGGTCCCATGCACCCCAACCCCAATATTTCAAAAGGAACCACTCCTTTTGTTATACCTAAAATTAAACTTTTTTTTTTTTTTTTAATTCTTGTGCAGGTGAATACTATAAGTACTCAAATATCGCAAAAGGGGTGGTGCCATTCAAAATTTTGAGGTTGGGGTGCATGGGGCTCAAGGGGTCACTCACCTCATAACCAAAAGATGGTGGTTCTAGTTTGTAACGCTCTTTTGTTGGAACAAAAGAATGCTCATAATAGTGCTCGACTATGCTCAGTGGTTGTTTAGCTTGGGGTGGTCCTTGGTGTCGGTACAGTAGAGAGGGGGCGCCACTAGTTTGTATAAATTATTTTGATTATAAAAGAATAGCCAAACTAGACACTATTCGAATAATTCCCTAGCTGTTATTTAAAAAGATAAGTTCAAGAATCTGAAGAGGAAAAATAAATCCAATACCTACCTATCTGAGATTTAACCCCTTCAATAAAAACACAAGTTTTGGAATTCTAAAAACAATAATTTATTAACCAGATGTCGAACTTGTTGTTCATTAACAATTTGTTGATAGGATGGCGAACTTGTTGTTCAATTGTTCAAAGGAGAATATTGTTCAGTATCCAATTTTCATAAAAAAATCAAGTAGCTTTCCTAAAGCAAAACTAAATTTGAATAGGTATATAAAAACATTGAAATTTAGAAACAATTAAATAGATATCTACGATGAAATTTACATAAGTATAAATGTTGAAGTCGATGTACAATTAACCCTTAATTTTTTGACTCAAAATCAATCAAATCAATAAAAAACAAATCAATAAATGCAGAAAGGTAATAAATAATCCCTAGGGAGTTATAAATGACAAAGACAGGCTATATGAAATCAAGGATATCGGGGAGAGCTCTACCGTCTTACCTGCAATTAAAATTCAAAATATGTAAACATAAAACTTAACTTTGACTACCTAAAGATTTTACATTGGTTTACCTTGTGAAACTACCACCTTATTGATTTGAAATTAAAAGTTAAATTAACCTTTTAAAGGTTAATGAATCCACAATATATTATATCGATCAGTACTCGATATAAAGGAAATAAATTTATAATAATTATAATAATGCATAATTATTAGATACTTAATGAATAATGATAAGAAAATGATAATAAAAGTTAATATTGGACTCTGATAATAATTAATTAATTAACTTATGGCCGTTTCCACCAACTATTTTATGGGAGCCTTAACGATAAGTATTCCTTAAACTGACATTTCTCCATGTAAAAATGTCATTTTAGGGAATACTTATCGTTAAGGCTCCCCTAAAATAGTTGGCGGAAACGGCCAATAATAATTAATTTTAAACGGTAATTAGCTATTCTAGCTAAAAACTACTATATGATAAACAATTAAGTCGGTAATTGAATTTATAAAGATATTAATTAGCTAATAAAGCTAATCGATAGGGGGCGATAAAGAAAAGGTAAAAATAAGATACGATAATTAAGATGGCATGTGTAAGACACCCATAGGTAAGTAATTATACAAGCCTGGATGGAATCCTTGTAAAGCCTCGGAAGTTTTCAAAAATTTGAGCTCTGGAGGTACCAAACTGGCTGGAGGCAACCAAATAATGGTTGGGGATCAACTTCTTACAGGACACCAACATTCCTTGAAAAGGGGGCCCAGATTTACTCTGAGATGCAAGACAGCATGGTCTCAAATTTGTCAATTTTCACTTGGATAAGTGCAGTCACGGATTTTTCGTCCTGCCCAAAGTGCCTGAACGAATTGAAGGAATATAAGGACTCATTCATCAGAGAGAAAAAGGGAATTTAAATACCTGAACGGCCGATAGTAACCTCACTTTCCAAAATCTTCACAAAAATCAACAATCGGTTGATTTTCCAGGAAACTTTCTAGTAGACACGATCAAGCACTCTTCTGGCTAGTCAATTTACAAAACTATGGGCTCGATGGCGAAAAATAAAGACAAAGTTTTAAGATTTTTAAGATTAAAAATCTGGACGACAATTTCGGTCCCAAGACAAAAGAGAAAAGGCCTAGTCAAAAGTACCCAATTTGGTTCTGTCCTGTGGTTCTGTATTTTCTTTTCTTCGTCTGTCAAGCTTGTCGAAATTAGAATAATGACAGCGCTATAGGTTTCTTGGAAATAACAGAATTCTCGATACAATGATATTAGGTTAGGAAAACTGGTCAGAAGAATCATAGACACTGTCGCTAGATGTACGAAATAGTACTTTTAAATGAGTCCAAAATATATTAAAATAATTAAGAACAATAAATAATATATTGTTGTAACATTTCAAATGTTACAAGTACCTGTATAACATTTCTACCAAATTACGTTTTTTTAAGTTAAGTAAGTACTTTCAGAGATATTCGCGTTGAAAGTTTTCAAATTGACACCCTGTATATATTTTTTTATAGAATTTGGCAGGACTACATTGTAATCCTTCTCATCACCAACGAGTGTAGATTTCTATCTAAAAAAATCGAAACACCTTGCATAGAAATCATGGACTATTCAAGAAAAGATAAAACAAGAAAAGATTATTGTTTCGATCAAGCCATTTCAGAGTAAGTAAATTGTCCAACGATGCCCCAGAAATTTCTATTTTTTTTTTTTTTCAAAGTTTTGATGGTGTAGCTGAAGCTCAATTCATCAGACAAACAGTATCGAACGAAAAACGCAAGAACATAAAAGAAATAATAGAAAACGTGAAACAAGAAATGGAAAATAATTTGAGAAACATCAAATGGATGGATGATGAAACTAGAGAAGCTTCAATAAAACATTTAAGGAAAATAACGTCCGCTATTGGCTGGACCGATATTGTTTTCAATGGAACTGAATATGAACGACTATTCGGATTTAATAAAGTTAAAATTCTTATATCCTTTTGAACTTCAATTTTATGTATACTTTTCAGTGCGAGTTTAGTTCAGACAACATCATAGAGATTAACCAAGAAGTAAACCGACATTATCTTGACTATCGTTTCAAGAAGATCAAAGAACCTTTTAGTTTTCAAATAGAGCACGCTTTGAGTGTACCGGTGTTGGAAGTGAATGCTTTTTATGTCAAGTATTGGGACATTTTAAGTAAGTATATTTCTTTGACTAAAAAGATTTTGTGAAGGCATGTTAGAGTTACAAAGAAATTTCAAGTTTTAGTTGCTCCAATTCTCTATCAACCAGTTTACGACTTAAACAGACCACAATACCTGAACTATGGTTCGTTGGGCAGTATAATAGGCCATGAATTGACGCATGCTTTTTCGTCACACGACGAAGATGAACGTCAAATGTATGCTAAAAATACGTCGGATCTTTGGAGTAATGCTACTAACAGAAATTATGATTTGGAGAAAAAATGCGTGGATGAAGAGTATGAAAATTACAGTGTATCCGTAGGAATAACTTTGGTAAGTGAAGCTGTGTACAGTTTTCATACAAGGATCTTATTAAACATAACTTTGTGTTAGGACCTTCAAAAAAATAAAATTACTTGGGCCACGTAACCCTAATATTCTGCTATCTTCTCGAGTTGTTAGTGTTAGACGTTAGGTGAGACATTATTATAATTATAAAACAGCCTGTCAATATTCAAATCAAAATATGTGTCGTTAATAGACAAGCTTTTTCTCAAAAGTAGTGTAGTTTGTATTGAGTATTAGTATTGAGACCAGCGATCAACGAACACAAAATAGAAGAGACCTTACAATTCAGAAGTGGAATATAGCTCATCCACAGCGAAAAATAAGACCGCAGGCGACTACATAATGCGAATTTCGATGTTCATCAATGGCGTCAATGACATTTGAAAGAAAAATCGATTCTTACAGCAAATTTTGAGACTTTTTCGAGAGTTTTCTCAGAACTAGGATGTTGTAATGAAGTTGAGACATTGACAGAAGACTTTTCGACCTTATAGACTGAGTTTTAGTGAGAGACAGAAAGTTTGCAAGATGGTAGAGGAACTGAAGAGCGCAGGTATCGTTATTGACTCGAATTCCGACTACGCTAGCCCTATTTTAGTGGTACGTAAAAAGACGAGTGATAAAAGACTCTGTATCGACTATCGCGGTTTAAATAAGGTCACTAAAAAGATAAAATACCCGTTTCCACTTATCGATGACCAGCTAAAAAGATCGTTTATTCGGTATGAAATATTTTACTACATTGGAATTACTATCAAATTCCGGTTGAAAAAGACTCACAGCGTAAAACCACGTTCGTGACGCAAGACGGTATGTTTTAATTTACACGCATGCCATTTGGAGTTGTTAATGGACCAGCAGTGTTTCAAAAATTAATAAATAGTGTACCTTTGTTATATTATAGCGATGGTATATATGGATGACCTGCTTTTACCGGCAATATCGGTTGATCAAGGACTTGAAAATTTAGAGGAAATACTCAAAATAAAGATGTAGAATTCAAATGGGCTAACTGAGACTGATGTTTTGGCATTACATAAGCCCGGAGCGTACACAGAGGTACATACAGATGCCAGCTTAATTGGATTTGGCGGTATGATTCTTCAGAGACAGGCAGATGATCTGATGCACCCTGTAGTACATGTGAGTAGACAGACTACACCCGAAGAACAAAAATATCACTCATTAGAATTGGAAACTTTGTGCTTAGTTCGGGTATTGGAGAGATGGAGAGTATACTTCATCGGCATAGAATTTGTATGTATTATAGACAGAAGAAACAGAAAGAAGATCCAAAACTCAAGAATATCATGGAGGTATTAGCCAAAAAGTCAAAGATTACTAAAGAGAAGAGAATAGGAAATGAGTATGAGATCAGAGATGGTCGATTATTCAAGAAACAAAATGAAGATTTATTTTGGATTGTATCTAGTAAAATTAGATGGAGGATCACGAAGAAATATCTTTATGATTTAGGACACCCCGTTATCCAAAAACTTTGGATAAACTCAGAAAATTCTACTAGTGGCCACGAACAAAGAACTACGTTAAAAACTATATTGGAGCTTGCATAGACTGTTTATACAATAAAATACCTAGTGGAAAACCTCCAGGCAAACTTCATTCTATAGTCAAAATCGGTTTTCCATTTCACACGTTGCATTTAGACCACCTGGGCTGGGACTCTGCAACGAATAGAGATCTTATCTCTATCTCTATTGACTTCCTCTCTCTATTGATTTCTAAAAGAGAGAAAAAGAAGCAAGTGCCATAGCGATGATGATAACGATCTCTATCCGTTACAGAGTCCCAGCCCTGGGGCCCTAGAAATACGAGATTAGTGATTTCTGCAAAAGCCATAGAAGAAATAATGAATATAGTAGGTCCACTACACAGAATTATTACAGATAGAGGTTCTTCATTTACTGGAACTCCGTTCAAGAACTTATACGGAGACAAAAAGATTAGTCATATTTTAAATCCTGTCGACTCCGCGAGCAAACGGACAAATAGAACAAGTAAGTAGGTATTTGATTCCAGCACTAGCAAGCATGACGTGTGGAAGTCTAAATGGTGAAGATTGGGATAAATATGTTGGTAGAATTCAGTATGTAATTAATAATACTTTGCACAAAGCTATAGAAAGAACACCTTCTGAGTTATTATTCAGATTCAAATCAAGACATATAGATGGTGACGTCATACAAGATGAGCTAGAGAATCAAGACTTTGATGGAGACATAGAAGAACGAAGACAAGATGCATTCGAGAAGATTAGAAAAGATCAAGAGAAGCAGGGAGAGAAATTAAATAAAGGAAGAGCAAGAGTTATTGTGGAGAAATTACCGAATGACAGCTATCGAATAGAAGACCTTCCTGAGGCGCAGCGTACTCAAAAGTTCTACAAAGGAGTAGTTGCTGTTGATGCAATGAAAATATTCAAACTATCTGAATATGATGATTCTGTAGATGACTATGATGATGATGAACTAGAAGAAGAAGAGTCTGAGAATTATATAATGGTGAACTATGGTGACGATGAGACTAGAAGCCCGATTGCGACAATAAATCCAGAACATAGACAAAAACCCGATGAAGAGAAACGACTAAGAAGAAACCCGAAATATTAAGACGATTATTGTACTATTTTCGAAGACAAAAAAGAGAAGGATGGATTCTCCGATTTTTTTTCCATCGATACCAGGATGCCATGCCTATTGTGCGTCAGATTTCAGTGGAACTTTCAGGAGGAGGAATCTGGACGATGGCCTATACTTTTTCGGGGTCGACCAATCACCCATCAGAACTTACCACATTTTCCAAGTATCTCAGCTCAGGCTTACAGAACTGGCATTATTATTATTATTATTATTATTATTATTATTATAACATTATCTAAATACACGGAGACATACTGTTTGATTAATCGCTGCCATGCCGCTGGAGCATTCCTCAATCCAAACGGCATCCTTTTAAAGTGAAATAGGCCTCTTAAAGGTACAGCGAAGGCAGTGAGAGGCCTCGAATCTTTAGCAATGGGAATCTACCAGTAGGCCGAGTTACTGTCCAGGGGAGTATGGTAACGGAGCGTCACGGAGTTTGTCGGGAATTGAGCTGACGTGAGGAAGCGGGTACGAGTCCGGTGACTTTGTTGATTAATCGACTAAGGTGAAGACCGGTTCGGAAAACAGGGTTTCTTTGGATTGGATTGCACATACCTTAGGAGGTTTATTGGAACTCCAGTTCCTCCATGAGAAATTTGAATGTACTTGAATTTTAATATAATAAACTTTTTATTTTTACGATTTAACCAAAACTTTCTCTTGAAGGAAAACAGTTCAGCAGCCACAGACGAAAATTTGGCAGACTTCACTGGACTAAACCTAGCATATCTAGCTTATCAAAAATTCTCCAATAGCCATGGAATTGAAAAACGCCTACCAGGTAAATTATTTTCCGATGAAGAAAGGAATGAAAAAATAATCTCACTGTGCGAAAGTGAAAATTTTAATTGTCAACGTGTTCCTTGAAGATTAATCAATCTACATTTTTTTTAGGCATAAAATTCACTCCAAACCAATTATTCTGGATAATGTCCAGCACTTACATGTGCGAAGAACCCAGACTGAAAGATCCCGAAACGGCGCACACGCATCCGGATAGACGTTCTGCGCAAATAAAGCACGCATTGGCCAGCTTCCGTGTGATCGGGCCTTTAAGGAATTCTCCGTATTTCGCGGACGATTTCCGATGCAAAACCGGCACTAAAATGAATCCGGAGAAAAAATGTAGATTATACGCTTGAGATAAAAAAAATAAAATACATTTCAAAGATCGAATTGATCTCATTTAAAACCGCTGCGAGATAAATTACTTAAATAGACAACGTATTTAAATATAGAAAATCAGGTTTTAACGTTGCTCGCGGTATAATTTTTTAACTTTCACCTCGGCGTTTGGTGTTCTTGTATCAATTTATTTACGTTTTAGCGCCTCTGCTCGGTTTTAAATTGTTTTTTTTTTTCGTTGCTTCTTGCACAAGATCGGATGGAGATCGTACTGATCGTAGTAAATTAATATTGGAATGATTGTTTTCGAAACAAGATTAGATTGATTTTTAGATGCCTTTAGAGAGAGATCATGGGAGTGAGATTTCCCACGGTTTTTCTTAGACTGATTGAGTAGGAAATTTTATAAGTCTCGTCTTGTGCTTGCGAGTTGATTTAGGTGGGCAAAATTCACCGATAAATAATTGAAAAGTGTAACTTTAAGGTCCGTATTGTTGTAATTCTTGTTTGTAAATAATTGTCTATACGACAAATATACCAAAATAGTTTTTGGATCGACTAATAGAAATATATGCCGAGTTCGTTTTTGTCATTTTTTTCGTCGATTTGCTCCGAAATTTTGGCAGGCAGGCGACAAAAAAGATGACAAAAACGAACTCGGCCATTGATTGCGCTTTGATCCATCAGATTTTATTACCTGACAGTTTATCAGAAGGCGGATAAACCGGGCATAACAGGAATTTTTACTATACAGTGAGCACGTAAAGGATGGAATAAAATCTATAAAATATACAGGGTTGATATTTTTCAAAAAACCTTGGACACGTCAATTTTTGATTTGGGTGGCCGTTTTTTTGATGATAATATTATGTATACAGTGTGACTCAAAAACAAGTTATGACAGCTAACTTTATTTTTTTTAATAAAAACACCAATTTTTTATTTCATTTTCAAATTCTACGTTAAATTCTGAACCTATTTCATGTATCATGTCTTATACCTATTTTTAGCTGTTTCGGAAATATTGACAGTTGAAAATTTACTTTTTTGCAACTTTGACCGGCTGTAGAACCTAAACGGGTAATTTTAGAGCAAAACCGATCATACATTCTTATTTTAGTTTTCCATAAACTATCATTTGACACCAACTTTGAATTTAATCCATTATTAAAAATTCTGGCTAAATTTAATCTCCGGTTAAATTCAAAGTTGGTGCCAAATGATAGTTTATGGAAAACTAAGACTAAAATGTATGATCGGTTTTGCTCTAAAATTTACCGTTTAGATTCTACAGTCTGTCAAAGTTGCAAAAAAGTCAATTTTCAACTGTCAATATTTCCGAAACAGTTGAAGATAGGTATAGGACATGATGCATGAAATATGTTCAGAATTTAACGTAAAATTTGAAAATGAAATAAAAAATTGATGTTTTCATTTAAAAAAATAAAGTAAGCTTTCATAACTTGTTTTTGGGTCACCCTGTATATATGGTATTATCATCAAAAAAACGGCCAATAAAATCAAAAATTGACATGTCCGAGGTTTTTTGAAAAATATCAACCCTGTATATTTTATAGATTTTATTCTAACCTTTACGTGCTCACTGTATAAGTGAAACTGAAGCCCAATTTATAGATTGACGCAACGCAACGTAACCGTAAAGCTACCATTAGAAGTTAAACATACACATTTAAGGGCGGGTATTATAAAACTATTTTGGCAGAAGAACTAAAAGTTAACTTCTGGAATAACGCTACTTTCAATTCTATAATACCCACCCTTAGTGAAGCAATTTATATTTTAACGTAAGCGTGTCTCTGTAACGTAACGTTAGGCAAAAGTTGGCCAACTTTAAACTTTTTAAGTTGCGTTCTTGCGTTTGCCCAATGAAAACTCAGCATAAACAAACATTTCAAAAAAAAATAAAATGAAAATGCTTCCGGGATGCTGGCAAACCTTAGCTAGGACCATTGAGGTCTCTAATATCAAAAAAGATGACGTAAATATTGTAAATATAACAATTAATCACCGACTATCATCAATTTATGACGCATGTGCCAAACGTAAGGCAAGAAATGTATAAATTGTATTTTAAAATGCTTGCGATTTGCTGCGTTAAGGTTGCGTTACGGATACGTTACGGAATGTATAAATCCCGCTTGAAGGTCTATGCACCAGAGTATAAAAACAGATAATTTAAAACTGCTTCAGTAGAAATGTTTCACAGCACATAGGCCAGTTGTCAGTTGAACATTTGAAAATGTTAAAATCTTTTTCTTTTGCCCTTGGTAAAGTTGTATATTGTTACGATAAATTTATCATTTACGTAACATGTTCCATCTCTTCTTATTTTCATTATAAAGTACCTAGTATTTTTTCCATTTTAGAATCATCCAAATAATCTGAAATATCCTCAATTTCAAATTCAAATTTAAATTCAAATTCAAATAATACAAGTGCTGCCATTTATCTATCATGTCCGTAAAGTGCGGATATCTTACCGGTACTGCCATCTAGTGCCCGATGGATTTATTTTTCAAACTATGATTTTTGGTTAATTCGCATTTGACAGTCATTTGTATTTTCATTAAAAGAAATTATATTTATCTCACTTTTAGCAAATGGATATATTTCTGTCCTTTTCTAACTTCTGATTCTGAAATAATCATTTTTTGGCTTAATGATCTAATTAATTAACAGTTTTTTATTTTTTACATAGGTAACTTTAATTTAAATTATTATAATTTGTAAACAATTAAAATAATTTTAGTGGATTTTTATCCATTCTGTTTCATTCCATGCGGTCTTTCATTGTAAAGTGAATATGGTCTTTTGGGTGTACTCGTCTGATTGGTTGAAGCTGGTTGGAATGCAGTGAAGTATAAAAATTACGGGATCGTTTTCCTGCTGGCTTTGGTTTTTAAAACGTTCTCTTTCCTTGATAGACAGTCTGGCAGGCGAGTCGTCATTATTTTTTAATAATTTTTGCTTTGAATTTCTGGATCCTCCCTTATAGATTTTTCAATATTCATATTATCATATATTTATTAAGTTTTTACCTGATAAATCTTATCTTATCTGTTTTTGAAATATAAAATATTATATTTTAAGTTTTTTTTATCTAATTGTTGGCTTCCATTTTGTGTGATTGCTTATTAGTTAGTGCCACGTTTTGTTAAGAGGTAAGTTAACACAGATTTTTGGATTTTAAATAGGTACTGCTGTCCTGGTTTTCAGAATCAATTTTTAGTGTGGGAATATTGGACCATTTGCTCTAAATAGAGTCGGTACGAACCAAATTTGTGAGGCCATCCCATTAACTCTTTATTAAATCCAGGCAGAGGCCTGGACAACCATTTTCTGTTTGACTCTCTAAATTATTATCTAAACTGAAGGGTGTAATTTTTTAATAGAAATCCAGACAGGTCAAAAATTCAGTTAAAAAATTTTAATTAAAATATCTCAAGAATTTTGACACATTCTGGATTTGATTAATTTCAACCTCAGGTTTATCTAGTATCTGTGGTAGCTACCTTAATTCGAGAGGAAAATTTTGTCTATTTAGGGAAGAATCCAGAGATTTAATTTCTTTTTATTGTTTTATGTACCTTATTTTTGCTCATATAAAAATATGAGCAAAAGCTCGTATTTTTCCCTGTCAGAACTGCTGTCAAGAAAGTAGCATTTTGCTCAATTATAACGAGCATTTTAATTTAATCTCATTATTCTTATTTTTTTTTATTATCTTACCATTAATCTTAATTATTTGATTGTTTTTTTATATTAAAATATATATTTTTTTCAACTTGCAATTACTGTTCAGGGGCTACACGTTATCTTAATTTTGAATTCACGGCCCTAGGTTATCTTTTCTTAAAGTAACACAAATTCTTTTAATTTGTAACAATATTTGAAACTATTATTTCAAATGAGGCAGTACAACTAAATTTCCAGGAAATTTCTGTGCAATATCTTCACACTTAGGTAAAGTTTACCTAAAGGTAAAGGTAAATAAACTATCAAATGAAACTGCCCTGCAGTGCACGGTAAGCTTGAATAGCTCATATGATGGATACAGTATACTTACTGTTAGAAATTAATTATTTTTGAAATTTTTATTTATTGATTATTTTAATATTAACGAGCTGCTACTGGTCTCCTGGATTTGCTTACGTACCGCTGATAGCTCGCCTTGGAAACGCGTGACACACCGACTAGTGGTCTTATTCTATGCCATTGGTGTCACCCACAGTCAGTGGACAGTGTGGACAGTGTGTCAGATTAGATTAGTCCACAGGATATAATATGTGTGTCAGCGTGTGCGCCTGTGCGAGAAGTGTAGTAGGTATTCAGTCTGTTTTAAAACTGAACTTAGTTAATAAACGTAATTAATTCTTCAACATCAAAAGTGGGATTGGCCCATAAACTCTTTTGTGGACTCTTCGAGTGAGCATGTTGACTTACCTTACTTTAGAACTAAGGTAAACAAATCCACCATATGGGTAGGTCAAGTAGAAGCTTTAAAACATGAATTTGGCTGCTCCAATTTTCAGACAGTGGCCAGAGTTGGTCAATTTTTCATGAACAACGCAAAAACATGGTTCGAACACTGGAATCCAGAAACCAGAGATTGGGCTACATTTAAAATTGAATTTATTTAGTCATTAGTCATCAAAGAAATTTAGGGCGTTTATTTCATGAGGCTGTAAATTTTAAAAGTACTAATGTAAATATTTCGAAACTTACGTTCATGAGAAATCGGCAATGTTCAAGAAGTTAAGGGCAAATTGGTCAAAAAATGATTTGGTAGAACTTATTGTGCATTGAATTTCTGAGCATGAAATACGTAATGCCGTGATGAATGCCAATTTTCAAACTGTATCTGAACTGTTAGTGTTTTTGTCGGCTTTTTCGAAATCTGCAGTAAAAGACTCTGTTGAAAGTTATAAAAAGGTTACTGATTCTCTAAAGAGGAAGTTTGAAAAACACTCCAGTGGTTTTACTGCGATTTCTAAGAAGTCTTATCAGTGCGGCAAATTAGGACAT